AACTGCCGACCATCGATTTTCATTTCCATGCTGACCCATTCCAGTATTCGCATGACGCTCTCGGGGTTGCCCAAAAGACAACTTTGGGGAGACGGTAGTGTCGCCTTGCCTATCCCCTCTTTTGATGTCGATGGCAATTTTGTTGTAGAATGCTGATATCTCAGTTGTGAAATTTTTATACAGCTCGCGAAGGATCCACATATGTTGAGCAGGGAATCCCTGGCTACCCAGAGCTTCCATGACTGCTTCTATTCCAACTGATTCAAAAGTTTTCCTTAAACTGATGGAAATAAAAGAAAGTGGGAAATAAGTCTCTTGTACTCTCACGATACGTCAAGGTGTTTTGTTACCGTGTCGATTTCGTCCATTGTACTGAATCCTTTTCGAAACCCTGCTTCCTCAGAAGGCTGTCCTTCGTTCAGTGTTCTGTCAACGTCTGTTTAAGATGGCTCAAATGCAATAAACCAGGTTTTGTAACTGGTGAAGCTTCGGTGGGTTTTGGGAATGTTCTTCTCAGCCTCTGCAGCTCCAACCATAACTGCTTCTCCTCTCTCCTTAAGATCTTCTTTCATCGCCTGTCTGCGCTGCCTTAAAGGTTCCAGCTCATTACTCAAACAAATGGGCGCGTGTAGCGCAGTGATCGGATGGGCGCTGCAATACACAAGGGAACGATCGCCGCGCCCAATGCTCACCAAGCTTTCTATCCCTCCGGGTCGGCAAATTGGTACCAGACTTGTCTGGGAGGATAGCAGCACTCGCTCGATACATCGGTAAGCCACTGCGAGTTGTAAAGGCCGGATGTCCATTCAATCACCTCCAAACGATGCCTAACGAAGTCGAATGCATGGTGAGTCCCTCAGGGATTGATCAACGCCGAGAGCTTTATTCTTGTTTTTATCCTGAAAGTGCTACTATGTCCATGCCCAGCTCTTTCACGAGCTCTTGACTTGTAGTAATACGTGGACATGCTTAAATCAATATCGTAAGCTGTTATCGCCGATAGCCGCAGGTTACTTTCGATCCTCATCGTCTCCACGACTCCTATCCTTATCAAGCAACGTGTGAAACCATATGATCGCCAGCGGTGTCTTGGTCGAAAGGAACGTTGCGAGCTGGCTCGGCGAATTTCAAAACAAGTTAGGATTTCATAAACAATGCATCTCGGGTGTTTTGCGTCGACACTAGGAAACAATTGAGATATCACATAGTTATTCAAGACACTTTATAATGAAAAACTTAACAAGTACAGCACCAACATATAACCAAACATCAGAGGTGTATAAGTCTTCAGTCCAAACCTCTTATAGGGCCGTGCAGTCGACGTTCGCCGAGCGCGTTTGCCGACAACGCGCTCTAGCACGAACCACGTTTCGACCAGCACTTTGTCATGCGAACAGCGGCGTGTTCTGATCCTAAAGCGCCTTCTGTTGATATCTAATCATTTGTGCTGTTGCTGTGCAATCTATGCCATAAGTGTTCTTGGTTTGGCTTCGAAATCATGGTATCAAAGTCACTATTTCATTTTGCAACCATGTCAGCATTTTGCCACCTGGACAATGCTCACTGGAATTCGGATATCAGCAGTACTGTCGGTGCCAAGCCATGCTTGGTCTGTTTGTCTCATCTGGTGTTGACCTCTTTGTTAGGTTTTTCAGCATTTTCATAGTAGTCGTGTTTTACGGACTAGAGACGGCTCAAATAAAGTGCCATGCTAGCAATTGCTGTGAGGGGAGCAACTGCACCGTGTCAGGATCGCTCTTCCATTCGTTGACGAACAATGTCCGAGAACCTAATTAGAAGCAAGGCAATATGTACTGTTTTCCAACTTTTTCTGGATGATAGGCAATAAAGGTGTATACGGCCGTTCGTATCCACCAATGGGTTCTCAGAGTTCCAGCTCTCAGTCGTATGTGACGTTAAAATGACAATAATAGTCGTGTCGCATCTTCCCACTTGAGCTAAACTGCACGTTTTTATTATCGGGCTTTGAATTTTTAGTTTGTACTGTTTTCAACTTCCAGTGGTTGAAATGTCTGGAAGTTTTTCTCTTTCTTCTGCAGTAGTCAAACAGCCTTAAGCTTTCGTTCAGTGAGATACTTCTGTTCCAGTGTTCGGTGTATCGATGCTTTCCTTTGTCGAAAAATCGTCCGTGGTTCTCGTCACCACCGATCCAGACGCAGTACAAGCACTGCAGGGGTGGTTACTCGTGTACACCATAGTTGTTTGTTTCCGCCTTCCAGTTGGTTTTCCAAGGAATGCGTTTCGTGAATTCCCTTTCATTTGGGAAGTAGCGGATTTTCCAAATAAAGTCTGTTAGGGGCCTTTTTGCTGTCAGAACGATTTTCAGCTGAACTTCAGTTGTTTTTGAACACGATTAGCAGGAGCTCCGCAAAGCGGTGATAATTTTAACATTGTCTTTCTTGGTTTCTCCTTATTGTATTCATAGTTCGTGGTGGCTCTTATCCAACATAGACGTTGGCTCTACATGCTTCCGAATAGCGATGAAATGCTGAATCGCATTCAAAGCGGCACGATTACTTTCCCTCTGGGTGATTTGTTGCGATAACTTTTATCTGTTCATATTCTTGAGGAAAAACCCATGGAAATAAAAGGATAAAGCATTCGGCATTGATCAATCCCAGAAGGAGGCGCCATGCATTCGACTTCATCAAGCACCACTGGAGGTGATTGAATGCATGCCCGGCCTTTACAATGACTCACGGAGGCCTACCGATCTATCGAGCCAGTGCTGTTATCCCTCCCAGGCAGGTTTGGTACCAATTTGCCGACCACGAGGCGAAAGAAAGCTTGGTGACCCACTGGAGCGGGGATCGATCCCGTGTATTGCAGGCGGCCTCCGGCTACTGCTCCACGCGTGTGCGAGAGTATATCCATGCTGTGATGTTTTGATTATTGTATGTCCTTTCATCATATTGGTAGCATGTTACACTGCATACCGTTTAATTTTTTTGTGAATTTCTTATTCTGTGTGTGTGTGTGTGTGTGTGTGTGTGTGTGTGTGTGTGTGTGTGTGTGTGTGTGTGTGTGTGTGTGTGGTGTGTGTGTGTGGAAAAATCGTTTCCCATAGGGATACCGTCTACATATTTCAATAGTTTTCAGTTTTCGGCGTTTTAGCGTTCGCTTCTGAAAGTGATCAATCGGTCTGAACTGTTTTTGCGAGCACAAATGGATCTCATTCCTGATGTGGTCCCATCTTCCTCAACTGTACTTCTACTCGTTGAGAATGGTTCGTTCCTTCATTGACTATGTACGATCTCATCTATCAAAGTCAAACGAAATAGTTATTTTAGATTCAGTGCTGAGCAGTTTCGGAGAGGCACAGTCTCGTTTTGCAACTCTCGATGTGGTATCATCTTCATATCTTGCAAGTTTGTCTTCTGTGTTTTCCTCATTTATTTAGAAATAGTTTTTCTTATTAACGGGATTTCTCCAGGTATGAGTAAGCATGATTACTATGACTATGTCTGTGTACTGATCACGTCCGAAGATCAGCTGAAGCTCTTCTGTGCTACTGCCTATAAAGCGCTGAAAGTTGGTGGGACAATTCTCGTCAGGTCACCAGGTGTTCTCATTGTTTTCTTTTTCAAGGAGCTATATGTGCTTTTTTTTAGAATGTCCGTTTGTGTTCTCTTTCTTACAACATATGGAGATGAATATATGCTTTTTAGGCGTTTCTCCCTCACTGGTCTCTAGAAGAATTTGCACAGCAGGATTCGTTGTCGCTGACGGGTCGCATTTTCGAAATGGTAAGCTGTAATGTTGTCGACTAGGATTAATAAAGTATTACTTGGTTGTTGCTACAACAAAGTGGAACTAAGACTTTTAAGGAACAACAATGTGTGGAACGAAACCGTCTTATGATGGAAAAAGTGTTTCGCTTAAGATCAAAACCGTTGTATGTACCTCCAGGTTTCTTCTTTCTTAGTCTATTGTATTCCCTTAGCGTCTTGTTAAGGCACAAGCAAATACCGATGAGAACGATATCATAGACGAAGACACTCTTCTTGAACCGGAGGACTTCGTAAGGCCAAGTGGAGATGCACTTAAAGGTGAATCACAATAGAAGATTTCATACGTAGGTAGGCGAATAATCGTAGTGACATCGTTGAAATTCTTGAGAACGCTTTGTTCATAACATAAAGGAGAGTGCAAAAGCGTTCAGTGTTCGTAGTCGCTGAGAAATGGTCCATTCATACGGCTTCATAAAAAATGGTTAGAAGTGACTGAGTACATATGTGGCCTATACAATGATGGCCTATGGATGTACGATATAGTGATAGCGTCCTCCAAGACAAGTCTGGCAGGAATTTGCTGACCCCGGAGAGATGGAAGGCTTTGTGAGCGTGAGGCGCGAGGTCGAATCAATAACCAAATATGCGTTGCAATGTACGTCTAACCACTGCAGTGCACGCGCCAATACATGTTAGTAGCACGTCACCGACATCTACTTGTATAGTTCCTTTTCAGCAATAATTGTGGCTCTAGTTTACAGGTGTAGGTTGATGTTATTACTATGCGCGTAAAAGCTCGATTGCTCTCGGCGTTGATCAATCTCTGAGGTATGCGCCACGCATGCGACTTCGTTAAGCATCGCTGAAAGTGATTGAATGCATATTTCGTCTATACATTGACTAACAGTGGCTTTCCTATGTATCGAGTCAGTGGTGCTATCCTCCCAGATAAGTGCGGTACCAATTTGTCGACCCTGGAAAATTTGAGGACTTGGTGAGCCACGGCGGCGGGGATCGATCCTATGTGTGTATCGGCAAGGCGCCTGCGATCACGGTGCCACACGTTCACCTTTTTATACGTATAGTTGCACTGAAATAGCTTCCGTGGTGGTGAAACAGAGACCTACTCTCAGCAAAAGAGGCCATTGTCTAGTGTCTATTGCATCGTTAATTAACAATTTTACCACGGTTTTTATCGCTTCGTCATTTTAAGCTAATTGTGGAGAGGTCACTAAGAGACGGGCTTGTAAGAACTGTACTTGTGGACTGGCGGAGCAACTGGAAGCCGAAAAAATGTCCCAACCTCGCCGCAACGGTTGCGGGAATGTGGGTTTTGACAGACCTTTGCTTTATCCATGAGAAGCAGTCTTTAATTAGCACTTCAATGCAGCTGCTGTGTGTTTTTCAGTAATGTTTACTTTATATTCTGTACATTACCACATTTGGTTTTATTCCAGTGTGCGCTTGGGGATGCGTTCCGTTGCTCCACATGTCCGTATTTGGGAATGCCTCCATTTAAACCGGGTGAAAAGATAAAGTTGGAAACGGTGGACGACTTCTGAGTGTTCTCCTTTTTCGTAACTCTTTGTGTTTACTTTTCCATTAAAGAGTTAGTCGTAAATGTATAGTTTGCCTAGTGATTCTCATCTCGTCTTAAGGATTTGTGATAACTTTTACATGTTTGAAGTCCAGAAGTAAACTATTTTTTCGTCGGTTGTAATTCACTTGGCGTAATGATGAACCTTGCTTGCTTCTGTTACCTTGATTTGTAATAGTCCTAACGTGTTATCTTACTTGAACCCCTAAGGGACCCATGGAGACTAACGCCACCGGAGCCGTGGAATTCGAGCATTTCCTCGTCGGCTACAGACTTTATAGTTGCTTGACAATAAAAAAATACTGGTTTACATGAACTTCAGGATAGACTCCGCAAAAAAGCTAGAGATGAAGCGCTAAATAGGTGCGAACAACATCAAGTGGGGGCCCTACCAATAGCACCATTTCCCCCGACGTTCTGTAGACAACAAGAGCCAAATAATGAAGTTGATGTTAAATTTCGGATGTTTGCGAATGAAACTCTCAAAGTCCTTAATCACTATCGCGCGAAAAGATACAGCTCAAACCTCACTCCAGTGCAAAAACGTGGTATGCGAGAGGTACGAGAGCTGATAAGGTTGAAAACCACAAGACTTTCCGTTAGTGATAAGGGTGGAGAGTTTGTCGTAATTCCTCATCAGTTAGATGTGGAGATAACGAAAAAGCATCTTGACGATGCTTCGCTTTATCGCCCATCATCTGAGGAGGAATTCAAAAGTAAATACCGAAAATTGAACCACGAATGGGCCAAAATGGCAAGGGCTGCTGGTTTAA